GTGTCCGTCATCACCCAAGTTGCCTCGGCTCGGGAACTTGGGTACGATTGGGGAAGGTCAGCTATGAGCACCCCCTCTCACCCGATCAAAGATTGGCCTCTACTAATCATGATGTGATTTTTATGTACATTATATGCTCTTGTTCTGATTATTAATGCTAACTTACTATGTGAGGCACACAAGTATAGACCAATTCACAAAATTTGGAACGCATTGATTTTATGTTTGTTTTGAAAAAGTACTTTGAATACATGTCACTTGAGAAAAGTGAGCTCGTATTTTACATTAATCAATTTATTCCAACTTAAGTAAAAAGACCTTCATCCACCGGCATTCAAACAGAAATATCATTTAAGCATTTAGCCTCATGGAATATGCTTGATATGGTAACACAAACATACAATGCAATATGCTAAAGCAAGAAATACTCACCTAATATTTTAAGGCAAGCTAAATAAAGCAAAATAATTAAAAGAAATGCATGCTCCTAAACGATGCAATATGACTAATGCAATGCATACATTATGCAAATAACAAGTTCAGCTACTAGCATGGCATGTAATTCAAATTAAGGCATGCGACAAAGCAAGTATTCGATTAAGGAAGTTGAAATTGACGTTTGTTAGAATGATGAGCCGAACCCTTATGCGTGCAAGACAAATGGATACAAGTCATGAAAAATGCTAAGTGAATATGATACTACCGTTATAAGCGGACAAATAAAAGGGAGAAAGAAATGGGGGTTGGAAGACATACACAATCATTACATACTTTGCCCTCGTGCAAGAGGGTCCAAATGTCTAAGTGTCCAAATTAAACTAATTATTACAAATAAAAAACATATAAGAAATAAAGAAGCTATCTAATTTATTATAACAAGGATAATAATGAGCAATAAACTAGCTATCTAAGTTAACTAGCTATAACAATTACAAATAAACAATAATAATAATTACAACCATATTAACTGCAACAATAATAATTAATTACAACAATAATGGGAACATCAATTTACAACATTGATATACACAAAGATACACAAGGATCACATACATGTGTCGGTTTTCAGAAGCAACTCTGTCTGCCTCCTTGAGAATTTGTCCTATTTCACCATCAGCCACTGCCCTCTGTTTCTGCAGAAAACACTCTACTTACCAAACATTGGAGGCCAGCCGGCCTCTAATGAGGCCTGACCGGGTCCAAACAAGGCCGGTCGTGCCCTAACTTCAAGAAAAAATCAACTTCTGTGCTCTGAGGTAAAAATAGTACAGACAGAGCCTTTCTGAGCTCTGTTTGTCCTTTCTGCTCTTCTCTGTCATGGGGAAGCTCAAGAGAAGAACAAGTTTGGTTCCAATATCATCAATAAGCGCAAGATGATGGCTTGATGATTTGAAACACATTTCGACAGAAAATCAATGAATGCAATGAAAGACAACCATCCTTCCATCCAATCATGAAATGAGCTCAAAGAGGGAGGTAGACGCGCTTCAAGGTTCATCAAAACATTATGAATTGATGTGTGACAACTCTTGACACGATGAACTCGGCATAACATCCGGCCGAATCCAAGCAATTTTACTCATCTTTATTATGTTGGTTTCATTGATTTTAAGTCAATTTTATTAGTCCTTTCCATTCTTTAATCAATTTGTCCGGAATGATAGTTAAGCCCACTAAATGAGAAGAAACATCAAACGAGAAGCGATCCCAAACATAAAAAATGGACTACGCCTTGACGATAAACCTTCGTAGAGATTAAGCCATTGAGCATAGGTCTTTTTTTCATGCCTTGAATGACAATCAATCGGTTGAAATAACTCTCAAACAAGAGAAAGAAAAAAGGAGGGAGGGCACATAAATAATTATGTGAAATCGATTATTTAACATGAGATAAAAAAAAGCTATCAACTCGAATGACACGGTGTCTAAAGCTTAAACAACTGAAGCCATAAGGACGTACAATACAACAAGCAAAGTATTCAATGCATAAACTAATTAAATGAAATAAAACAAACCTAAATAGCCCCTAAAGCACAAAAAAAAAAAAAAAAAAAACAGTAGCAACATTCAACATCCTCAACAACAAACATCATCAACATCCGATCAAAAAAAAAAAAAAAAACAAACAAACATCATACTCACTTTTCATTTCAATTCAATTCATCCTCTAGTTTTTCTTTCTACTTCAAAAGCTGTGTTAAAAGTAATAGAACAATATATCGGTTATTATCGGAAAGTATCAATAAACACGTATCGATTGATATTTAAAACAGATCAGTAAGATCGATGAGGTGTTTTAAGATCTTGAGTGTGGGAAGAATTGTGTACCGGACATGAAAGTGGTAAGGGGAGGCGGGTAAAGAAAAGGGTCAAGAAATGCTACCGTTGGCGAACCGGCAGCCGCAGAACCACCGCCAGCGGTGGTGGTGACAGCGGAGGTGGCGGTGGCGGCAGTAATGAGATTGAGTCCACCGCCAGTACCGGAGGAGCTCTCTCCGGTCATGTACTGATTTTCTGGACCTTGGTCGTACAGAATTCCCTTGAATACATGTCCTCCAATGTTCACAGCCGTCTGATACGCGTACTGATCATCAGCATCATCAATGGAGCTCACTCGAACACATCGAAAAACAGCCGGTGAATTCACTTCTGCTGGGAAATTTCCAACTTCAAACCCTAATAAAATGCAACACAACACAACATTATAACATTATATTTCTTAAATTCTTGATGCGTTTTCAAAAACACAACAGATAAAAATTAAATAAATAAAAATAGTGTCTTTCTTGTCAATCCAATCGTCAGGACTACTAAATAACAGTGTTTTCGAAAGAAAAAGCGAGGAAAAGCTGATGGAGCTCGATTTCATCACACGCAATCGATTTTATTTCTCTCTCTCTCTCTCTCTCTCTCCATATCTTAGAATTCTTCAGAATTCTGTGTACACTATACACGAATCTTTGGGACTGTGTACCTGACGCGTTAGTGGGTAAACGAGTAGTGCAGACCAGAGAGGAAGAAGCATTTGGATTTTCTCTCAGCCTTTTGGTGTTCTCTCTATGAAGCTCTACTAATTGTTCTTCTTTTTCTTCTTCGTGTTGTTGTTGTTGCTGTTGTTGATGCAAAGAAGCAAGTTGTTGGAGCCTCTCGCGCCTTTTAGCAGCAGGAACCCAAGTGCTCTTGACATGGGTTTGACACTCAAACCCTCGGCTCTTGCAACAAGTCCTACACCTCATGTGTTCACACCCTTTCTTTGCTTGATTTCCACAGTCTTGGCAACTAATATTTCCTCCCCCACCGCCACCACCCCCCATCATCATCACAAGCCCAGATCTCGGAGACTCATCGGCGGCCGCGATGTTTGTCTCTCTCCGGCTTGGCCCAATCGCTAGGCCTCCCGCCGAGGAATAAAGATCTTGTAATGATGAGTGAGTGTGGTGTTGGTGTTGGTGTTGGGGCTGGGGCTGGTGTTGTTGCCATAGTTGGAAAGGTTTGTAGGAGACATCTTCGTTTTTGTACAAAAACAAGCTCTCGGGACTGAATTCGTTGGGTGGATTGTTGTTGTTGCCTTGTTGATTGTTGTTGTTGTTGTTGTTTGTTCCTCTTCCGTAGCCTAGTGAGAAGAACCCAGCCATTGTTCTACCATTAAACCTGTCCCAAACATCAATTGTGACTCTAAATCCATAGCAGAAGCAACACCAACTGCCTAGATTTGGAACCCAACCCAACCCACTGTTGAAAAATGGTTGCGTTCGATTTTTCTGGGTTTTTTTTTACTATTTATTTTTGGGATTTGGGTAAGACAAAACAATGGGGGTTTGGTTTTGTTTTTTTCTTGAATTTTGCTCTTCCCTTTTGGGTTTTTGAGTCTCTCTCTCTCTCTTCTATCTCTCTGTCGAGAGAGTAAATTCTTTGATCAGTTGCTTGCTAGTTGTTGTTGGGATTACTGCAACATTTCTTGGACAGACAAATCGAAGAGATTTCGAGAGAGTCCCTCCTCCTCCTTCAATCCCTTTTCTGTATTGTAATAAGCATTAAAGGCACAGAATTACAGCTCTGCCACGCCGCCATGGCTCAAAAGCAACACAAAAGTCTCTCTCCCTCTCTTCTCTCTCTCCTCTATGATCTCTGTACACTCTGCAACCACCAATTTATTAGTTTCTTTCCAACAAGTCCACCCTTTCAGTCCTTGCCTCTGTCCCTCCCTCTCTCTCTCTCTCTCTCTCTCTAAGTGAATTCTTGTGTATAAGAAAACCTCATTGTGTCTGGTTCTCTCTCTCACCTTCATTCATGAATGAATTATGAGCATATCTCCACCCCGGAATGATCCGTTCGAGTTTAGTCCATCTAACGCTCCACGCCATGCCACGTGTCGCCCCACCACTTTTTGCTGCTTTGCACCGGAGAACCCGCTACTTTTTTGTGATCCTGTCCCTTTAATTTAGAGGAATTATCATGTGTTACAGTAATTTCAATTAGGTTGTGTTTTATTAGTGGTTTTGTATAATAAATAGAAAAAATAATACTCCCCGTTTCAAAATATTAGTCCCTCTTCAAAAATCAAGTACAAAAATAATATAAATTTCATATTTTGTTCTTCTTTTAAATTAATAAACAATATAAAAAGTACAACTATGACATTGATATTCTCAAAAATATGCTATCAAAAAGGTAATTTTAAAAAATTAATTTTTTTCAAATACAATAATTGTACTATCAAAAAAAATTAAATTCCTCAAAATGGACTATTATTTTGAAACGGAAAAATTAATAAATAATAAGTATATAATATATAATAAATAGAAAAAATAATAATAAATAATAAGTATATAATCAATAGAATTGTAAAGGACAATCCCATAAAATATCAAACAGACGCATGTGATAATTTTTCTTGTAATTTATGTTTTGGGCAAATTATAAAGATAATTCCTCTTTACGATTTTATTGTTTATTATTTTAATTTGTTGGATTTTAATTCTAAATTTATGATTTTTTTTCTTAATTTAATTAAATTGTTTATTATTATTAATATTTTTTTAATGAATAATATGTACACAAATGGTATATGTCAATGTGTTTTTGTTAACAAGTGTCGGGATACATTATCTTAGAGTATCTTTAATGGTATTTGTTGTAATACCATTGCTATTGTTATAGTTTAGCAATGAATAGTAGTAATTTGTCAAATTATAGTAATGCTGCTCCAATAGTACACATATTATTTTGGCAAATCTCAACCAACTTTCTCTCCAAATATGTAGGTATTGTTTGGATATAAATTTTTTAGTGATTTTTTTTTTTTTATTTTTTGTTTTTTGTGACCTTTTTTAACTATTTGTAAAAAAAAAATTATATATTTTCATTATACCGGACTAGGCAAATATAAAAAATGAAAAAGAAATTGAAAAATTAAAAAAAAATAAATATAATTCATCCTACCAAAAAAAAAAAACCATTACAAAAAAAAAAAAAAAATTACAAGATTTTGCAATCTAAAAATTTTGGAGCCAAATTCTGTTTATTTAGATAAAGTGGCAAGTTTGGCAATTGCCAAACTTTATAATTGTGTTTACTTACATGGGTTTAATGTATATACAGGCCGAGTCTGTCAAAATTGTACTTTCATCCCATTTTAATGACTCCAATGGAAAGGTTCTTTCAACCGGTTACGATGGATACTCTAGAAAGGTACCCAGGTCATGAAAAGGAGTATAATGCTAGAAAGGTTTACTATAATTGGATTGAAAACGGAAATCGTCGGCATCCTTATGATTGGACTAAAGGCGTTGAAGTTTATGAATCAAAAAAAAAAGGCGTTGAAGTTAATGAATCAAAAAAAAAAGGCTCTGAAGTTAAAGAGTACTACGCAGAGATTTTAAGACATGCAGAAGAAAAAGGAATGCCATATGGTCTAACTGACTGGGATGTCTTCAAGTTTGTGAGGAATGCTATTGTCCACATCAGTGTAAGTTTACGTTCAAGGGTTAGTTTGTTGAAATAGTTAATTACGCAATATCCCTTCAACTATTAACGAATATTATTTTATTCATTCATTTATCAATCCATACATATTGATACTCTCAATTATAAATATTGTACAAATTCACCTTTTTTAGAAGTGGTTTGAAGATGGCAAAACTAATATATTTTTATAGTTAAAGAGAACAAGATGTATAATTTCATAGATTAAATGAGTAAAGTGATATTTGGTAATAATTAAAGACGTCTTTGTGTAATAAACTCATATGAAACAATAATTTCACCTTTTTTTTTAAACGTATTTATTTACATTTTCATGTATCAACAATGTGTGAGTAATAGGCTCTATTAAACTCTGTACAACATTGATTAAATTAAATATTCTAATAGTTTCACCAAAATCTCATTTTGCCTCCACTTTCAATTGTGATAATTAATTATTTATAAAGTAGGCCAAATTACAATATTAATAATTTGTCCATTTAAAATCAATAAAATTGATAGAACTTATCATATAGTCGTTCTGCAAATAATTTTCATATTTTTATTAAAAACTCAATTTGGTTCTTATATTTTCACCAATATCTTACTTTGGTCTTTGAATTTTAAATTTTCATAAGCATCATTGATGGTAAATAGACCGAAGCGTATTGCAAATTAACTTAAAATTCACAATTGATAGTGAAATAATCAAAATGAAATTTTGATAATTGAGAAAAAAAAAAAAAGAAGTTGGTTTTGTCTGGGTTAGTAATTCATATTTATGACATGTGGGACATAGGAACATACGAAGACGAATAAGAAAACGGAGAAAGATGTAGAGAGAGAGTTATCGGAAATGTTCCCAGAGTATTTCAATAAAGCATACGATCTCTTCAAACTCGAAGAAATCGCTTCAGGTTCCAGGTATGTATGGAATGTGAGTTATAAACAAGTTATGCAACTGTTTAACAATCACCTGGAAGATCACCTTGATTCTAGTGTCCTCTATATCTTTTAACTTGAAGGGAAACTCATCTAGAATTACCCACCAAAGACAAATGAGGGAAAAGAACTCGCTAACAATCCCCTGGAAGATCACCTGAGATGTTCAGACCTTTCTTTTTATATATCTATTTTGTCATGTAAAACACATAATTTACTTTGGTAAAATTATATCTTGCATTTTTTTTATACTCAAATTAGTCAAATTATCCTTATAAAAAATGATATACAAGTCCATTTTATAAATTCATTGAAGTTTATGAGAAATAATTGGTTGATAATTAGAGAAGAAAGTTGTCTTAGATATTCTAATAAATTGTCACATAAATAGCGCTATTCAAGTCAAAAAATTAGATCGACAACTTTTCAAACCTAATGATGTGACAGTGTATTAAAATATTTAAGGCAAATTTCTCTCTCTCTCTCTCATGTCTTCTCAAACCATTTACCAATCATCTCAATAACATGCCATTGAGTCTCTATAACGTGAATCTACAAAATGAACTTTTATATTAATGTTTTCCTTATCACATCACTGCATTTTTAAAAGTTAATTTAATTTTTTAATTAGAATAAGATTAATCTATCCCTATATAACTTCTCGGATTACGATGTGTTTCTTTACATAATAATGGTTCGACAGAATCAATAAAAAATAAATAGACATAGAAAAGAGAATAACATAGAATTTTCTTGGTTCAAACAAAATGTCATCCCCATTACGATTGGTATAAAATAGGGAGAATTATTGTATTTAAAAAAAAAATATCAAATCAATTAAAATTTATAAGTATTAATAATTAAATTTATAATTTTTTTCACTAATCTATAAATATTTTGTAAAAACTTTACTAACGTGTAATTGTTTCTATAAAGGGAGCATATATTCATAAATTCCTTTTTACCTACTTATATTTCACTTAGTTTAAATTATTTTCTTAGGTTCTAATAAGTCCTATGGGTAACATACTTACCAAAATATTGTTAATAATAATAGGATGAAGCGCGCATTAATGTTCACATTGATAGTGTGAATATTCCGTGATGTAAATATTTACACTGTCAATTTAAACATTCACGCTGTCAAATTTATTTAATGTGAATGTTCACATCATGGAATGTTCATACTGTTAAATTTATGGAGAATTTACATACAAGTCCCATTTTATGAACTTATAATCCATTAAGTCCTAAATAAAATTATTTACTCCTTCAAGTCCCATTAATTTTTAATAGACCAATTTACCCTTACAAGACACGCATTCTTTCTTCTCCCCGGTCTCAAATCTCTGAAAATCGTTTTCAAACCCTGAATTTTCCTCCTCAAGATTGCTTTTCTCTGGTGAATTTGTTTCCCGGAAACTTGTTTCCCAGAAACTTGTTTTGGGGTGTAAAAGAGCTAGGAATCGGAGTCGTCCGAACACCATGACTGGGTCGATTTCAAGTTCTGGTTACAGGGGAAGTAGTAGTGATGACGGTGCTAGAGTTCTTCAACACGATTCTTCCATTCATGGGTCCTCTGAGTTTTTCCCAAATTTCACTATCGTCAGACTCGAATCCACCCTCAATCGTTTGGTTCCTATCTATTTGTTTTTATGAATTTTCCAACTCATGTATACGCATAAGGAGCTGAATTTTGGCTTCTTGTGCAGTGTTCTAGTGTTGAAAAGCTTTTGATTTCTTTTTTCTTATTCTTTTTTCTTTTTTCTTTTTTTTTTTGTTTGAAACGATTTGCATAAAGAAAAATAGAAGAGAAACTGCTATGTAGTATGAAGCAACTATAAAATAATGGTAGATTTTATGTGATCAAGCAAGAAGAGAACACATACCTCAGGACTTGATGTGGTTTGCTTTTGCGTCATATCGAGCTTCGATTTCTCCAAAGTCACCGCACCAAAAAAATTGAGAGATTTTTCAAAACTGATAATATTCTCAGTTCATACTAGGAAAAAAAATTGTGAAATTTCTTAGTTTTGATAATTATATACTGAAATCATTCTCTGTTTTGAAAATTGAGAACATTCTTAGTTTTGAAATTGAGAACATTATCAGTTTTTTGATTAAATGACAAAACATCTTTTTACCTATAAATGGGACTTATTGGTTCAAAAACTTTTTCACAGGACCTAAGCTACCACCAAATATGTAGACATGACTTTTTGGTAATTAATCCATTAATTTTTATTATGTGTTTGGATGATAATCATGTAATAAGTGATTGTTTTTATTTTCATTAAATTACTTTATATTTTTTCAAAAATCAAATATGGTGACAACTTTAATATTATTATTAAACCAATCTAGTAAATCAAAAAATACAAAATTAAAAACATTTTATATATTAAATATATCGATTACACATTAAAAACTTAATAACTACATATTATATGATCATCATCTAAACATATAATAAAAATTAATTTGGTAAAATAAATAAATAAATGTCTAAAAGATTGATCAATTTTA